AATGTTGGGATTATAGGTGTGAGCCACCATTCCCAGCTTCTGGCACCATTGAAAAAAATATGTTTTTGCCCCAGTGGCATGAGATGCCACTGTTATCAATATCCTATTTCCAAATGTACTTAGGTCTATGTTGGGAGTTTCTCTTCTATTCCAAACTAAACTGTGCATCTAATCATGTACCAGAACTGCTCTGTTTTAATTATAGGGGCTTTGTTGTATGTGTTCCCATTTGGTAAGGCTAGTCCCCACAGTTTTTCCTTTTCAGTGTTTTCCTTTTATTGCATGTTAATTGTTTTCTGCCAGAAATGCATAACTGAATTTAGCCATGAGAAAACAGACAAACTCAAACTGAGTTACATTCTATAAAAGAATTGGCTAATACTCTTTAAAATAGTTAAGATTAAAAAAAAAGAAAGAAAGAAAGACAAAGGAATTGTCCCAATTTAAATGAGCCCATGGAAACATAACAAATGCACTACATGGTCCTGCAGGAATTCTAGTCCAAACAAGGACATGGGATAAGTAATGAAATTTGAATGAGGTCTGTAGATTAAATATTAGTAATGTATCAGTGTTAATTTTCTGGTTTTGATCGTAATGTGCTAATGCAAGATATAAACGTTTGGGAAAACTGAGTAAAGGATATATAAGAATTCTTTGTGCTACTTTTGCAACTTTTTCATAAATCTGAAATGATTTCCAGTTGAAAATTTAAAGCAGCTGGGTGTGGTGGCTCACGCCAGTAATCCCAGCACTTTGGGAGGCTGAGGTAACTGGATCACAAGGTCAGGAGTTTGAGACCAGCTTGATCAATATGATGAAACCTTGTCTCTACTAAAAATACAAAAAAAAAAAAAAAATTGCCAGGCATGGTGGCGTGTGCCTGTAGTTCCAGCTACTCAGGAGGCTGAGGCAGGGGAATTGCTTGAACCCACAAGGTAGAGGCTGGGATGAGCCAAGATCATGCCACTGCACTCCAGCCTGGGCGAGAGAGGCAGACTGCATCTCAGAAAAAAAAAAAAAAAAGAAAAGTTAAAATATAAAAATTTGAATTATGTACAATAAAGATACATGTATTACAATTTAATTATTAAAATTTATTTTATTTAATTTATTTAATTTTTTTTGAGACAGAGTTTCGCTCTTGTTACCCAGGTTGGAGTGCAATGGCGTGATCTTGGCTCATTGCAACCTCCGCCTCCTGGGTTCAGGCAAGTCTCCTGCTTCAGCCTCCTGAGTAGCTGGGATTACAGGCACGTACCACCATGCCCAGCTAATTTTTTGTATTTTTAGTAGAGACGGGGTTTCACCATGTTGACCTGGATGGTCTCGATCTCTTGACCTCGTGATCCACCTGCCTCGGCCAATGTTTTATACTTATAATAAATATTTTTGCCAAATGTAGGAGATGCAGACTTGAGACTGGCAGGAGTGAAGCCAATGGGTAAAACAATCCAGCTGTGACGTTCTGATTAGTCAGTGCAAGAATTGGACTCCCAGGAACATTACAGTGTCTCCTGCTGGGACCTGCTAATCACTTCTGGGCAATGTCATTGGCACAGTTTAGGTGGCAGTAAGATGCCTTCCTTCTGATGAATTTGGGTGAGTAGCTGAACCAATGAGAGTTTGGGTACTTAAGGTAAAAAGAACGGATCCTTCGTTAAACTGAGTATTTCATTTCAGAACCAAAAACTTTAGCAAACAATCTCTTAGATGTTGGGCCATGTATTTTTCCCTGGAAAGTACACATCTTTTCTAGAAAAATCTTGTTGGAGATTATATTATTGAGGAATAAACTGAGATTAATACCTGAAAGTGTTATTTAATGTCATAAAGTACCAAAACAGAAAGGCTTTCAGAGGTTTAAAATTCCAGCTCCTGCTATAATGATTTAAAAGTCTGTGAATGTATCAACATGTACAGGAATCAAGCTTTCATATATTGTATGAAGAGTGGATTTATCTGAATTACCAGGCATGGGTATGGCAGTGCAAGAACTCTCTAACATGAATAAATGCAATTTAAAGTCTGACTTTATTTTTATTTATTTATGTATTTTTAGACAGTCTCGCTATGCCACCCAGCCTGGAGTACAGTGGTTCCCTCTCAGCTCACTGCAATCTCTGCTTCCCAGGTTCAAGGAATTCTCCTGCCTCAGCATCCCAGGTAGCTGGGACTACAAGCTTGCACCACTACACCCTACTAATTTTCATATTTTTAGTAGAGATAGGGTTTCACTACGTTGGCAAGGCTGGTCTCGAACTACTGACCTCAGGTGATCTGCCTTCCTAGGCCTCCCAGAGGGCTGGGATTATAGGTGTGAGCCACATGCCTGGCCAAAAGTACGACTTTAAAACATGTGAAAAGGTCTGTGGGGGCTGGGCTCAGTGGCTCACACCTGTAATCCTAGCACTTTGGGAGGCCAAAGTGGGTGGATCACCTAAGGTCAGGAGTTCAAGACCAGCCCAGCCATCATGGTGAAACTCCATCTTAAAAAAAAAAAAAAAGAGGTCTGTGGGAGAAGTGCTAGTAGCTAGAACACAATTGAACACACAGGAAGGAAGGTGAAGATGGAGCATTTTCTCAGAGGAAGAAGAAAGGGCTCCATCAAGAATATGGTGGTCACTGGCCTTGGGTAAGAGTGGGGACTTTTCCAGAGACTGAAGAAAGGGCCTTGTCTGCCTATCATCCCTTCCCCCTGCTTTTGCTAACAGTCTCTAATTTTGGGCAGAGGACATCCCACTTCTCTCCCTTTTATGTGGTCCTATGTAGAAGTTCCAATAGTAGAATGGGCATATCTCCTAAGGGAAACCATTCAGATTCTCTTTCTCTCAGGAATTTAGAAATTCAGAGGAAAAACACAAGAAGGGAAATGACTGGAGCCCAGTCGCTCTGAGGGCCTTGGCTCAAAGGAGACTGTTCTGAGTTTCTCTGAGGTTCATGCCCTTCCAAGACCTGTCTGCCTACTTTTCTTTAAGTGCTGTGAGCGCTGCATTATCTTTTCCGCAAATTCCAGGTGAATTCCAGTTGAGTATGCTAGTTGAATTCTGTTTTGTGCAAAGAAAGAACTGCATGGGATACAGAAGGTGTAGTCACAGCAACATTTTAAGTATGAAGTTGGGGACGTCTGTTCTCTCAGGAAGCAGCAAGTGGAGTGGATAGTTGGAACAACGTGGTGAAATTGATAGCGAAGTGCTGGGCAGAGAAGGGCATGGTCCCTTAAGTGCCATGGAATGAAGGAAGGGAAGTGCTGGGTAGAGGAGTGTGTGGTCCCTGGCTAGGGCTCCACCTACACAGACCTAGGTGAGGACAGGCATTTCCTGCCCAAAAGTTGCACTTCCCAAGACCACCTTGGCCAGCCATGCCCTCATCATGTGCCTATAAAAACCCCAAGACCCTAGCCAGCAGGCATGTAGGCGACTGAATGTTGAGAGGAGCCCATCAGCCAAGGAACACACAGGCAGCTGGACGTTGAGAGGAACGCACCGACAGGAACTGGCCAGCTGACCAGCAGAAGCAGAAAGACATGGAGTTTAGCTGGGCAGTCAGAGGAGAGCCCAGGCTGCTGAGAGGCCCGGCACCCGGGGAAAACCTTCCCACTCCATTCTCCTCTGACTTTGCCAGAGCTACCTCCACTCAGAAAAATCCTGCACTCATTCTCCAAGCCCAGGTGTGATCCGATTCTTCCAGTACACCAAGGCAAGAACCCGGGATACAGAAAGGGTCTAAGTGAGCTGGTTAACACAAGCTGCCTAGACGGCAAAACTAAAAAAGCACCCTGTAACCCACACCCACTGGTGCTTGAGGAGCTGTAAACATTCACCCCTAGACACAGCTGTGGTGTCTGAGCCCCACAGACTGCCCATCTGTACGCTCCCCTAGAGGTTTGAACAGCAGGGCACTGAAGAAGCAAGCCACACCCTCATCACACGCCCCCCGGCAGAGCAAGAGGGAAAAGGGAACCTTTCCTGTTTCAAAACTATGGAAGTATCAGAGGCGTCTGAACCAGAGCAACTCCATTTTGAGTGAGGGCTAGGAAAATGAGGCTGAGACTTGCTGGGTGGCATTCTCCGAAAACTAGGCATTGCTAGCCTCTAGATGTTTACCATTAAGGGAAAAAATTAATCATGTTTAGTAAACAGACCCAGACTTGGGAGGGTCCTTATATCCCAATATCTGGAGAACAAAGGCATTCCTAATTTTGCTTTAAAGATAATATCAATTGGTTCAAAATATTAAGAAAATTAATGCTTTATCACAAGCTCTTGCAGCAGAACACATCTCCCAGTATATACAAGCATTGTCCTTAGGGTGGATGCCTCTCCCTCCTCTTACTTTCGGGAACGTCCTACTCTCTCTGTGGAGTAGCTGTCCCTTCATCCCTTTACTTTCTTAATGAAACTTGCTCTTGTTTTGCACTGTGGACTTGCCCTGAATTCTTTCTTGCATAAGATCCAAGAACCCTCTCTTGGGATCTGGATCCGGACCCCTTTCCTGTAACAGAGGGAGGCTGATCAAGGAAAAGTATAAAGACACAAGATAAATAAAAGGTCTGCTAATCAGTACTGAAGGTCATTTACATTTGCAGAATATTAATTTGTAGTGATTTCCTCCAGTAACTTTGGTACAGGAAAGGAGAAAGGGCCTGATTCGAGTTAGAAGCCAGCATAGTCTTTGTCAGAGGCATAAGGTGAAGATATTAAAGGAATAAGGTGAAGAAGTTAAAGCCTAGTATCCTTGGTCTCTAGGCTTAACAGTCAAGGAAAGAAAGCTAAAAGGGCAGAATGGAGGGGGAAAGGGGGCAGTGAAGGACTGGAGCTTGGGTTAGCAAAGAAAAGACACAGTGGACTAGGAAGTAGGAGAGAGACCTGAGAGTTTAAGAGGCTGCTCTATTCAGGAGAAGTTCAGATTTGAAGTCACAATGTTTCAGTGATAAAGTCCAGGCTGTGGGACGTAGATTAAGAATGTTAAGCACATGGCGACTGAAGTTGCCCATGACGATGGAAGATGAAATGCAAGTTGGTATTTGGCTCATCTCAATTTTACCAACCAAGTTCCAAGTTCTAAAGAGAGTATGTGCATATGTGTGTGTGTTTTAATGAATGTGGGGAAAGTGGAGGAGGTTGGTAGATGGTGACCAAAAAATGAAGTCCCCTTAAGACACTAAAACTTTTTTTGCCGACAGCAGTCTTACTCTTCACCCAGGCTGGAGTGTAGTGGGGCAATCTCGGCTCACTGTAACCTTGGTCTCAGGGGCTCAAGCAATCCTTCCACCTCAGACTCCTAAGTAGCTAGAACTACAGACCTATGCCACCACATCCGGCTAATTTTTTTTTTTGTAGAGATGGGGTTTCACCATGGTTCCCAGGCTGGTCTCGAACTCACTTCTGTGTCCCACAGTGCTGGGATTACAGGTGTGAGCCACCAGGCCAGCCCAGCCTTAGTGTGGATTCCCACAGTGTGGATTCTTGGGTCGGCCTCTTTCCTGGTTACCTAATCATGAGTAGGTTACCTCTCCTTTCAGTACCTCAGTTTCAACTATAATTTGGGGATAATATTCCCTCCCTCATAGTCATTGTGTGAATTAAATGAACAATGTATAAAGTGGTAAATACTGACACTTAATAAAGTTAGCTATTATTATTAAAGGAGAGACCTATATTTAAATGATTAGAATACAATGTAATGCTTTTAGATAAATACATAGAAAATAACTTAAGTCACTTAAACTGTACGTGGGATAATCAGGTTGGTATTTAATGAGGTGATAACTGAGGTGACTACAGAAAAAAGTGCAGGATTGGGTGTGAGCAAGGTGCAGGGGCAGTGGTACTTCTATGTTGAATGCTCAGCCTAAGCCGAGCACCGTGGCAGCTGTTTTACAATTTTGTCACTTTAATATCACATCCTTGCAAGATAGGTAGCTTCGTTTTACCGAGGAAAGCTCAGGAAAGTTAAATAATTAGCCCTTGGGCACACATGACTGGAAAGAAATTGGGAATTTTATTTTAATAAGTAAGTCTGTCAAAAGGGCGACTAAGCAGAGGCAACTGCAAGGAAGTGTGAGACAAAACAGCTGGAGCCCTGAGCTGGGACAGTGGAGGACGAATGAGTTTTATGCCTGTCATAATGAGGAACTTGGCCTTGAATTTGAAGGCAATGGTGAGCGTGCAAAGGACTTTAAGCAGGCCCTACACAGTGTCAGCCGAGCAGTTCACAAGAGCAAGGTGATGCCTAGGCAGATCAGGGATTCTCTGTCTACTGAGCGCCCGCCTGCCGGCTCCACAGCAGCGGATTTTGCTGCACCAGAAGACACAGCAGAGCAGACCTTCCTCCGCCCACAGCGCCGACGTCGAAAGCTCCTAGGCTGGTGGCTCCACTGGCTGCTGGACGTCCCGACTCTCCAGACCCGCCGGACTGGCGGCCAGTGTCATTACACCGCCGCTGCCTCAGGTCTTGGGCCGCAGAGCCACCCGGCCAACCGGCCTCTGTCTGCAGCGCTCTCTGGCGTCGGCCCGGCTCGTGCAGCTTCCGCCGCCCCAACCCAGCCGAGAACCCCAAACTCCAGTCCAGTTCCCATCCGTAGCTTCCTCCCTGCACCAGCGCACGTCGGATCACGTGTGGGCGCTGTCACGTGACACGAGGTCACGTGAGACGGTCGCGCACGAGCCGCTGGGCTGGGCTTCCGGGGCTCTGCAGTCCTGACGCACGGGGGCGGCCTCGGAGCCCACCGAGCCTGCAGGCTGGGATGGTGAGGGCGGCGGGTCGGGCAGAAGAGGGAACGGACTGAGCTGGGGCCGCCGTCCCTGCTGCCTTCAAGGCTCAGCTTGTCTCCTCGTCTTTTTCGCTGCAGATGAACCGGATGACCCCCGACCAGGAGCGGGCGCCGGCGTCCGAGCCCGTGTGGGAGCGGCCGTGGTCGGTGGAGGAGATCCGCAGGAGCAGCCAGAGCTGGTCGCTGGCAGCCGACGCGGGCGTGAGAGGCGGGCCCCGGGGACACGAGGGCGGCAGGGGTGACGCTCGGCCTGCGAGCGGGAGGACGGGAACATGACTGCCCCTGAACCCGGGCCGTCGGATTGCCTGCCCTTTTAGGAACACACGCCCGTCTTGGCCCCGGAGAATGCCAGCCTGGCAGCTCCCGGCCACCGGGGAGAGGGGCGGACCCGGACTGCGGCCCAGACGCGGCGTTCACTTCATTGGTGTTTCTGGCAGTGCCGCTCAGCTCCATCCAGAGGGGAGATCCGTTTTCCCTACGCTGAGAGATTGCTCGGACACTAGGGAGGCGATTCTTGTTGGGACCTGGACTAAGTGGGGTGGGAGACAAGCCAGTATGTGGATATCCTTTAGTGAGATTCTTCGCGTCGGGGGCCCAGGAAGCTCCTTCAGAGCTGTAATTCCAGAGTCCTAAATGAATAGGATTTTTGAATGAGAGTGGTGGCTGCTTATCTAACCCCTGCTCTGTGATCTTTGTAGACTGACAACCAAAGAGGACTTTTTAAAAGAGACAGGGTTTTGCCCTGTCGCCCAGGCTGGGGTGCAGGTGGTTCAATCTTAGCTCACTGCATTCTCCGGGGCTCAGGTGATCCTCCTACCTCAGCCACCTGAGTAGCTGAGACTATAGGCGGGCTCCACTGCACCTGGCTGATTTAATTTTAGTAAAGATGGGGGCCTTGCTATGTTGTCCAGACTGGTCTCCAGCTCCTGGCCTCTAGCGATCACTCCGCCTCAGCCTCCCAAAGTGCTGGGATTACAAGGCAAGCCACCATACCGTTAGCTTACTGCCACCCTTTTGATGAGCTTTGTTAGTGATTCTCAATGTCCCTTGGATTTACTAGTTGTCAAAAGGAGCATTCCGACTGGACGCGGTGGCTGACGCCATCCGCCTGACAGTCTCGCAAGATCTCCGCTGTGGTCAGCCAGAAGCCCTTGACTGCCCCGGAGAAGGCGCAGAGCGCAGGCTCACACTCCCTCCCACCCTTGCACAGTGTCCTTTCGCCCTCCGTGAATAAATCAAATTAAGTGAAACAAACATTTTTTTTGAAGGCAGATTCTGTGCCGAGGACCATCCCAAGTGATTCAGATGTCCTCACAAAATAGATATTATTTAAATAAGTGATTATCATAAGACACAACAGGACATATGACGTATGATTACACCTTTGCCACATTTTTTTTTTTCTAAAGGTTGAGCAAATAGGCCGACTGCGGGGCATCACGCCTGTAATCCCAACACTTTGGGAGGCGGAGGCGGGTGGATCACGAAGTCAAGAGATCTAGACCATCCTGGCTACCACGGTGAAACTCGACTCTACTAAAAATACAAAAAATTACCTGGGGTGGTGGCACGTGCCTATAGTCCCAGCTACTCAGGTGGCTGAGGCAGGGGAATCGCTTGAACCTGGTGGGAGGCGGTGGTTGCAGTGAGTCGAGATCACACCACTGCACTCCAGCCTGGGCAACAGAGCCAGACTCTGTCTCAAAAAAAAAAAAAAATGGTTGAGTAAATTAATAGTCAGAGCCCAGATGCTTTTTTTCCTTTCTTTTCTTTTCTTTTTTGAGACAGGATCTGACCCTGTTGCAGAGGCTGGAGTGCAGTGGCACAATTTCAGCTGGTGGCAACCTCTGCCTCCTGGGTTCAAGTGATTCTCCTGCCTCAACCTGCTGAGTAGCTGGGATTACATACAGTCGTGTACCATGATACCCGGTTTAAAAATTTTTTTTGTGGAGACAGGTCTTGCTGTGTTGCCCAAACTACTCTCAAACTGGGAACAAGCAATCCTCTTACCTCGCCTGGGATTACCAGCGTGAGTCATCACATCCAGCCTACAGCCCAGAGTATAACCCACATTATTTACTTGTGCCCAGATGTTAAAATAGCACTTCTTTCTCTCAGTTTTGACAGAGGTCCTCCATACTCGGTTGGCAACTGCTTCCCCACATTCCCCAGTAAAGGAGAAGATCATAGCAGGGTTTTATTTATCCCACCCAAGAGTGACCCCTACAAGGGGCAAGGCAACCTCACTACAAAACAGGAGAGAAGATTCTGATGCAGAAGCTAAGATAACAATCATAGGCTGTGAGTGGAAGGGGAGCTGTGGAGAGAGAGGCCCACAGAAGTCCCAGAGGAAGTCAGCCGAGAACGTGACCTCAGGCAGGAGGAGCCCTTAACTCTCCTGTACCCCATTCCCTCACAATTCAGATGCACCCCTGGAATGAGACTTCATATAACTCAAAGTGTAACTCAGACCACCTTTTTAAATTATCTGAAGGTGACCAGGAAAGCTAAGGGACCTGTCTAGATTGCTCAACTGGCCCACATAGCATGTTTAAACAGAAGGGGGACAAAGGAAAATAAAGCTGTTTATCAGTTGCCCACTGATTGTTCAACAGATGACTGTTTGCCCATTTCTGATCTGTCACGTACACACAGCTGACTCCAAGCCCTAGGAGAGCAGGGTTCTCTCCTGAGATCTCTCTGGTTCACTGCTGTATCCCCAGGTCCAGAGCACTTCCTGGTCCAGGTGCTCCGTACAGACCTGTTGAGTGAACAAATGTTCTCTAACGCAGGAACAGTCGACGTTGTCATTGTTTTGGGTGCTCTGTGTATAACAAGAGATAACTGATACTGAGGCCTTGCTCCCAGGCCACTCTGCATCAGCAAGGCAGAGCCCCTGGCCTTGAATTCCCCTTGGACTGCATGTGGCCTTGGGTGCACTTGTTCAGGCTGTCTTGTTCTAACCTGCTTTCACCTCAAGGAAACACAGAGGAATGTCGGGGACACATCATAGAAGACACTTCCTGATGAAGAGGAAGGAGGGATAAACAGGAACACCTTAAAGAAAAGAAGGGATCTAATTTCAGCTTGAAGACACACATTTTTTCTATTGTTTACCAGCCAGCAGGACATAGGCAGCAGAGTGCAGACATCACAAACAGCAAGAGTGGCAGTGGTCCCCCGAGTAAGGGACGCACAATGACCAATACAGAGTTTAGGAAAAATAGAACTTTTATTCATGTGTATTTTGTTTCGTTTTGTTTGGGGTTGGATTTTTTTTTTTTTTTTCTTTTTTGAGATAGTGTCTCACTCTGTCACCCAGGCTGGAGTGCAGTGGTGTGAACTTACTGCAAGCTCCACCTCCCGGGTTCAAGTGATTCTACTTCCTCAGCCCCAGAGTAGCTGGGACTACACGTGCCTTTCACCATGCCCAGTTTCACCATGTTGGCCAGGCTTGTCTGAAACTCCTGACTTCAAGTGATCCGCCCACCTCAGCCTCCCAGAGTGCTGAGATAATAGGCATGAGCCACTGTACTAAGTCATTCATATGCATTTTTGTCTGTATGTTTTGTATGCTTTATAATGTGTGTAAAATCAGTGTATGCATAAGTTACAAATTAACAGTACACACATATTCAAGTGTTTGCTCAAAAGTCTTTTACTGATAGGAAGGGCTACACCATCATAGACTATTAGAGGCCAGAGGAGAAGAGGCCTGGCCTGGGAGCCCTGTGCCTACTAGAAGCACATTACGATATCCATCCACTGACACCACAGGGCCTATTTGGGTCCTTCTTCTCCACCACACTTATCTTGCAGGTCTCCTTGTTGAAGATTTTCCGGCAGTTGTGTCTGTCATAACCCACAGGTGTAGAAACACTGTTATTGAGACAAAACCAGAGCCTGTTAGAGAAAGGACCGCCAGAACCCCCTCCCCCAGTGCCACTCCCTCTATTCAGGAAGCCACCCATGCTCCAGCTGGCTGGAGTGCCTTCACCAACTTAAGGGCACCCCTTGGCTGGCAGCCCCAGAGTGTGACCTCCAGGAACTTGGACCAGTCTGTACCATAGAGTCACACAGCCCACCCCTGCATTCCATCCTGCAGGCACAGAAGGTCAGCAGTATGTGCTGCCAGGCCAGGGGCAAGTCTAGCTACTCTGGAGCTAGGCAGCTTGTTCAGGCAGCCTTCTCCCACCCTCCCTGTTCAGGAAGTGGCCAGCATATTGTTGCTAGAATGTGGAAAGGGAACAGTTGTTCCAGCCCTGGTGTGGAGGCCTGTTGGCACAGGAGCTCTCTCAACTAACCAGAGCAAAGAGTACTCCAGGTCAGTGTCATGGAGCCCCGGGAGAAGCTGATAAAAATCAGACACCACCTCTAATTGAGCTGCAGTACATACAAATATTTTGAAGAGTTCTGATGAGATGAGATGGTACTAATGCTAGAATATTTATGTATTTATTTATTTTTAATTTTTTGAAATGGAGTCTTGCTCTGTCAACGAGGCTGGAGTGCAGTGTTGCAATCTCGGCTCACTGCAGCCTCCATCTCCCAGGTTTAAGCAATTCTTCTGCTTCGGCCTCCTGAGTAGCTGGGATTACAGGTTCGTGTTACTACACCCGGGTAATTTTTATATATTTAATAGAGATGGGTGTTTCACCATGTTGCCAAAGCTAGTCTTGAACTCCTGAACTCAAATGATCCACCCCTACTTGGCCTCCCAAAGTGCTGGTATTACAGGCGTGAGCCACCATGCCCAGCCCAGTGCTAGAATGTTAAGTGTTAAAATCAGCCCACAGAATTGTGATATAAAATTTGATATCCAGTATGTGCAAGAAAAGAAATGTAGAAAAGAGACATAAAGAAATTATCTTAGAAGCCCAGGCATGGTGGCACATACATGTAATCCCAGCTACTCAGGAGGCTGAGGTGAGAGGACAGCTTGAGTACAGGAGTTTGAGACCAGCCCGGGCAACATAGTGAGACCCTGTCTCAATTCTTTAATACAAATAAATAAATATGATAGAATGTTAACAGTTATTACCTTTAAGCAGTCAGAATTATTAGTAGGTTTTTCTTTTTTCTCCTATACTCTCCAATGGTTCCATAATTCATATGTTTTACTTAGAAAATTGGGGGAAATGTCATTTAAAACCTTCCATGTTTAAAGGTGATTGTTGGCTGGTAGGAATGTAAAATGGTGCAGCTGTGGAAAACAGCTTGGCAGCTCCTTAATAAGTTCAACAAAAAATTACCATATGACCCAGCAAGCTACTCCTAGGTATATATCCCAAAAGAATTGAAAGCAGAGACCAAACATTATATGCCAATGTCTGTATACTGACAGTGTTCAGAACAACATTACTTACTTTAGCCAACAGGTGGAAGCAACTCAAGTGTTCATCAACAAATAAATGGATACGCAAAATGTGGTCTAGCCACGCCATGGAATATTAATCCGGCAGAAACAGGAAGGAAGTACTGATACATGCTACGACATAAATGAACCTTGACAACATGCTAAGTGAAATAAGCCAGACACAAAAAGACAAACACGGTGTGATTCTATTTATATGAAATACCTAGACTAGGCAAATTCATAGAGATAGAAAGTAAATTTGAGGTTACCAGGGGTTTTGTGGGAGGGAGACTCTGAGTTATTGTTTACTGGATATAGTTTCAGGTTGGAGTCATTAAAAAGTTTTGGAAATAGTGTTTATGGTTGCATAATACTGTGAATGTATTTAATGCCCCTGAATTATATGTTTTAAAATGGTTAAAGTGGCACATTCTATGTAATATACATTTTACCACAATTAATAAAAGTTAAAGTGGTGTTTGTTGAAGAGATACAATTCTTTCATTTCTTTTCTTTTTTCTTTTTTTTTTTTTTTTTTTTGAGACAGAGTTTCACTCTTGCTGCCCAGGCTGAAGTGCAATGGTGCAATCTGGGTGCACTGCAGTCTCCACCTCCTGGGTTCAAGTGATTCTCCTGCCTCAGCCTCCTAAGTAGCTGGGATTATAGGCATGTGCCACCGTGCGTGACTAATTTTGTAT